CCATGTGTACATGAAGGCTGCAGCTTCAATGTGTTCCTCTGACATAGTGCTTCCCATTAGTAAGAGGCAGAAATAAATTCATAAAATAGTATAAATAAATAAATAAAAATAAATAATAATAAACAAAAAGCAGAGTAGACAAATTCTAATTCATTTGTAGTTACAAAAACATCCATAGCTTTTTTCTTCTTACAAAGTTATAAATGCTATTTAATTTTACATGAAACATTGCAGAAATTTGTGTGTGTATATTTTAATTCTGAATTTGCAATTATACAATGTATATTACTACAGGTAATACTACTGAAGGAACTTTGCTTGTGATTCGTGAGACCTCTTCTAAGATTTCAAAACTGGAATGATTGAGAAATGCTACATTAAGTTAGCATGAACGAAATGAGGAGTCATGCTTGAATTGGAAGGTTTTGTGACTGTTTAAATAACTGAGATAATTTACTGTAATAATTTACTGTAAAAAAAAAAAGAAATACAGTGCAATATTAATGCAAAATATGCAGGAAAAATAAATTAGTACTTAGCAATATTACTGAGACATAGCGATATCGCTTCCCATTTAATTAGAATGACAAAGAAAACAAAATATTAATGTAGCTTTCTACAAGGAAAAAATACAAAAAATATATATTATTTGGAGCTAAGCTCACTTCTCTCAAACAATCAGTATTCAAAAAATAACTGAATTTTTAAAAGTCAGGCTTTTACGGTTGAGTTGTTGAAAGCTACATAAAATATATGGAATATAATTGTATATTAGTATTTATATCTAACATAGAAAATACCTACAGATAACAATACAGTATTGTACTACAGGTAATCATTTGTTTTACGTTTTCTGAAGTTTTGACAATTTTTCTTCCCCTTGTGAAATAAAATAAACTTTGAAATGTATGAATGTCATGTTACAGCTGTCAACTGTAATACAAAGCCTATGACCTGTTCTTGTGAGGGCAACATTGCATTTTACTGGGTTATAAAACCATAGTTGTTTCTATACTAATTTCTCTTACTGTTTTGAATGATGGGGACAATAATCCTACTGCAATGTATTTTTCTTTGTGTTCTCTGAGATGGAGAAATAGTTGTGTTTCCAGATAAGAGCTAACCAATACTTCTGTCCATCTTTTTGTGATTGGTTGAGACTTTTAAAACCTGTATTATTCCTCTGTGAACTTATGATGAAAAGACAGAGCTTTGGTCACACAAATAACACTATGACTTACTAAATGTCAAGAGTTAAAGCAGGAACAGACTATGAACGAGAAAATCATTCTTAGTTAGTTAGAAAGTCTAAAATATTATAGAGAATCCAGTCTGAAGGAGATTTGGGGTGGATTTTAAAGTTCTCACTGGATTTTGTCTCAAAAGAGACATTCCTCAAGAAGAGGGTTATTGAACAGAATTTATAGGAGCTTTAAGCAACCAATACTTATAATTATGGCAGTGATTAGAGTAGCACTTTTTTTTGCTCTTACATTATATTTGGAATATTGCTGAAACTCATAGATATTTTTCTTCCAGGCTCTTCGATGCATTTCAGGTCAATCCTAGGAGTTTATCTTCTGATATTTTATTTACAAGTCCTAGAGTGTAATGGACACATCTGCTGATCCCTGTTAACCATTGTATTTCTGTTATTCTTGTTTTTTAAATCTATGGCTCAGCATTAGCAATCTGAGGTTCAAAAGGCTCCAACAAAAAATATTTAAACATAATTTAATATCTTCTTTCAAGAAGGTAAACAGAAGATAAAAGGAAGATATAGCTTTTCCACTTGATAAAAGTGAACTTAAAACATAAAAAAAGTTTAATAACTGCTAGTGAGACAGAGGTTTGGGGCTGTAGGGAAGTATTTCAGAAGTGGAGACATTTTCTGGAAAACCTCTTTTTCTACTCATTTTTGTGGAAGACAAAAAAAATTGCAAAGGATATTAAATTAGTTCTCTCCATCCTTTTTAATACAAAATTTTACTCTGTTAGAGTAATAAGATGAGACAGCTTGACAACGGATACATTTCAAAAGTTTTAAATCTAAATGCTAAAGAAAAGTTTGAATAGACAGACACAGGAAGTGTGTGTCTAGGTATCTGTGTGTGTAAATTTTTGAGAATTTTTTGGCCTTCTAAGAAGATCAAGGGTGTCAGGGAAAGAGAGTGAGATAAATGTAGTGGGTTAATTAACATAATATATGGTCAGGATTTGGTATATTATTGTCTCACAAATTAATTCACACATACTATTTAAGAATATTCATGGGAAATGATTGATTTGGGATCATGACAGTGGCAAAACACTTGGGTTATAATATCTCTAAACCATTGATGATTGTCCATCTGCACTTCATACAGTGGGTCATGCCTTATTTCTTGGAGACTAGTTCTAGCTTACCTTTAAAATTCCTTTTAAGTGACTGACATTTTTATTTCCAAATACCAGATGCCAGATGCCTGCTAAAAGTCAGATGTAACGTAAAGGGTAGTAAATCTGCATATTTACATAAAGAAGGTAATGTTCTTTCAAATACAGAACTGAGGGCTGGAATTTATTTAGCTAATTTTAAATGGCTAAAATGCAGACATGTAGACTTGAGCTAGCAGTCTCCAGATTTGAATTCAGTAAAGAGAAACAGGAAATTCTATGTCATGGTTCATCTGACCTGTAATTTTTTATAATGCTATTTGAAGTCTTAAGTTTAATGTTGAATTAGTGGACAATCATTTCCTTTTATCAGTAAGATGTTACAGGTTGGCTGATGAGTTTGTATATTATCACATTACTGTTGCTGCTGTTGTATGATTTTTGTTTTGGTTTGCTTTTATCTAAAAAGATGGAGTGGGAAGGGACGCAGTTTCTATTTTCTACTTTGTTTTAATTAGAATGCCCAGTACCATTTTCTCCAAAGTGACTATTGCAGAAATTGAAAAAGTTACCCAGATCAGTCATAAAAGACCTCCCAAACGATAATAGAATGAGAAAGGATTAAGCACAACCTTGACTTCATTGCTCAACACTTCATCTTTCTGCTTAGTAAAACATGAACTGAATACAAGAACAAAGATTCTGCAGTAATTTAGAAAGAGAGCACTGGTTGAATTCTTTGCCAGATACGCCAAACCTTTAACTGTGATTGATATTAGATCCTTTTGTGCATTATCTGCCAGTTGGAATGAAGTCTGGCATCCAAAAAGTGGTGGTTTTGACATTAATGCAGCTTCAGAGAAATTAGATTTTCTGTAAAGCTTTAGCAGCACTGAAGATAAATACAAAGCGTAATAAGCAGTGTAATGATCTTTGAATCTGCAGCTTCATCCTATCCAGTATCCCAGAAGGCTAATGTAATTTCAGAGGAAAAGGTACTAAGATGTATCACTTATCTTTCTCTTCCATGCCTATGCTATCAACTCAGATGTAATACATTAACATTTGAATTGAAAAAAAAATGTCAATCAGGAAATAGAGGGATATGTTTGAAGGCAGAAAGAAAAGAAAGAGAAACATAAGCAAGTTGATGTAGAGTGCTGTTAAAAATTCTGACACACATTTAATATATTAAAGCCTCTGCTTTGAAGTATAAATAAAAAGCACATATTCTGTCACTGATGTTATCATACTGATTTTGATAGCCTTTTATTTATGCACTACTAATGTGAAGACTTTTCTGCAAAGTAATTGTGGAATTTTGAGTTAATCAAGATATTTCAATACAAAATGTAAAAGGAGAAAAGCCTTGATGGCTTTAGAAGCTGTGAATAGACTATAACAGGTATGAATTAATTGAAATGTAAATTTTTATTATGACAGAAATAAGCTGAAGGTAGCATCAGTTCTTCTCATTCTCTTTATTCTACCAACTTTACTGGCCTTGTTTAGGTTTTTTAAAGGAAATCTGTGCAAACTCCAACCAGCTAAAATATAATTAACAAAAATCGTCTCAGTATTTTATATTTTCAGATAGCATACAGTTGGAACAGAAATGAATAGCTCAAGCAAAAAAATATCTTTAATACCCCATTTAGGCTCATGTCTTAAGTAACTGAAAGTCTGATACAAATATGGAGAAATAACCATTTTCTCAACCATATCTCTGATGCAGAGTCAGTTGTGTTTTCACAGTTAATGTTACTCACATCCAGTCTTCTACTTACTTAGTGATTTTTTTTTTTTAATTATTTTTTCACACGTGGCCAAAAAAAAAATCAAATTCTTATTTCTGGCCCTAACAGTAGAAGCTAGAGCAGCATAATCTTAGTACATTATTATTATTTTTTTAATTCTTAAGTAGTTCTTATAGATTCCTGTTCTCAATTGTGCTCTGAAATGTTTGAACTTTCAGTCTGAAAGTAAGCACTGAGTGAGTCAAACCCAGAAAGTACTCTTGTTTATAGTTGCTAAATCATAAAATCCTTAAGGTTTCTTCAGCATAACTTCTATCTTAAATGCATAATTTCATATTAGTGCTCAAACAGGTGAATTTTAGGAAAATATTGGCTTAAATTTGGGCTGTCCACCTGTATTGTAAAGCTTATTTTCTACAGAACTAATTTGGAGAAAATGCACTAGAAATATTGAATATCTGAGCTATTTGCTTCTGATTGAATGCAAATATACTGATAAAAAGAACTCTTATAAACTTTAGTTTCACAATTTATAACATATCACAAAGAAGGCTAATTGAAGTCACTTCCATTCTGCTAATGAGTTTTTAGTTCTATTTTAATGTGAAGCTGAGAAAAAATATAACAATTGGACTTAAAAACTTGAAAGGAAATGAAGTATTTTATGCCATTTAATTCTTTTTAGGTAATGGAAGCCTGACTGAGCATTTCTATCGTGGTTTGGTACAAGCTACTTCAGCAGCCTCTGTATATTCTAGTTACTCTGGTGAAATGGGAGTTCTTCCATAAGTGTTTTTCTTTTGTTTATGGAATTAGATATACTGAAGCCTAATTTAATTATAATAAATGTTTTTCTTTATTATTTAGGGAGTCTTTGGCTAAAGACAGACCAAAGAAGTATAGATCACTATGGAGAGTAAGTGAGCATTTAATTAAGTCTAATTGCTTTGATGTATGTAAAATGCAGTCAGTGATATTTTAAGTTAGATTGTATTTTCAGAGTAATTTCAATATAGAAAATCTATGAATTGGAACATAGGGGATCAATGTTCAACTACAATGATTTCTGTTGTCTTTGTATCAGGCTACCTAAATCTTGGATATCAATGGATTTACACCAGTTGTAGTTTTGAGTGTCTGAAAGCTGTATTTGTGTGTAGGGCTCCATAAACTCTGCATAAATTTAAGCCTGTATGGATATCTTAGGAACTTTGCAGTTGTGGTGACTAATGTACTGCAAGAATAATTTCTGGGGAACGATGTCTTATGTTATGGAGAGAGTCAAAAAAGACCTTTATTTAGCTTAAGACAATCAATGTCTTGAGACGTAAAATTTTTACTTTTTAGGTACTGTTCTAGGTGTTGAATACTACTGAACTTACATAACTAACTCAGTAACTAACTGTTGCAGAGTGGGGCTGTTAATTTCTGAAGTCATAATATAGGCAAAATTACACTGAATCGTGTATTGAAATCTGTGAAACTATTCAACTTTTTGAAGAGAGAATTTTCAGAAATAAAAATGGGTAGCTGAAGCTTTTTCTTCCGTGAGTCTATGAACATTATATGTTCAAAAATAAATAAATAAATAAAAATAAAGTTCATCATTTTACTTTCTTCAGATTCATACAGATACGCTCTTATAAATGATGGAAATATAACAAAATTTATGCTCCACTGAAGTTGCTTCCCACTTATGCTATTTTTGTGTACTTCTAGATTGAATAGAAGATATTTACTTATTATGTTTGTGTACTATTTATGAACTATTTGGATTAAAAGGATCATTTAGTGCATATTAGAGTGGTTGAGACCCATAGAATTTCTAGGGAATGTGTCAATATAAACAAATCGCTTTTAAGTAAAACTTATGGAAGTTAATGACAGATGAACTGTCCTACCTTAGGGAACTTTATCTGCCCTGAAAGTCTGTGTGCCTGCCCTGTGCTGCAGCAGGATTACGTGTATGGAAAATGGGGGAAAATACCACGGAATTATCGCTCATTATTTAACAGAATCCTGTACTGGCTTTGAATGTCTATAAATGTATATATATGTAACTGCACAAACATGCATAGGTGCAAAAATGTATACACATGCACACAAATATATATATATATATATATATGCATATATATATTTGCAAAGATTTCTTCAATTTTAACATTGTATTTCCTGCAACTTTGATGTCATTCATAGGTTCCAGTTTCAAGGTAATGCATTTTAGAAACATTGGAGGTTATTTTATTTAATAAAACATAATGCTTAACCTGAAGGAGAACCGCTTTGGTCTTGGATACTTCTTAAATAGCAAGTAGGCAGTTCTAGCTTAAGTGTCTTGGAAGGCAGAGCATTCTATGTGGTATGGTAACTAAGTGTTTTGTCTAAGAACTGATAGAGTTTTACCCAGTGTTTTAAGGTGTAGCTTTTCAAATTGATGTCCTAATCAATGCATTTGCAAATCAACTTGGAAATTAAATATTAATTACACGAGCCATATACTAGCTTTATTTAAAAACAGTTTGGTCCTAGTGATTATTTTTTCCAATTCATTGTTTTTAGAAGCATTTGACCATTTATTTCCTAACACAGTATTTCTGTACTATTTGTTAGATGGATTAGGCTTTAGTTTGGGAAGCATGGAACTTTTGAAAACGCAGCAGAAGCGAGATGTAAAGCTGCATTTTTCAACATCATTAACTAAAGTGCTGTTGTGCAAGAGTTTTCTACTGATTTTTGTGGGTGTACTATATAGATAAACGATTGTTTAATCTGTTGATGACTGGGGGAATTAAAAGAAGTGTTTCCGTCTATCCTATCCATTCCATAAGACTTACCACATAATGTGACTTCAGTCAGTATAATTCAGGCAAAGACATGATCATCACAATTGTCATGTAGACAATAATGATGATTTAAGCAATATTTCATTTACTGGTTTATTTGATCTATTATAATATGAGATAGGAGATTTGTCGTCTCTCTTGCTGCTCTTTTGTTGGACAGTGATGCATTTTGTTGGGTATTGATCATGCCCAGGCACTGTTTTCTTTTAAATTATGTGTTGTGTTGTTAGATTTTGCTGTTGTTCATTTTAGTTACTTAGGACTTTTTAAAGTGTGTGGGATTGTTACTAGTAATGTAACTTACTAATAGCTAGGAGTCCTTGATTATCCCTGTATTAAAGATGCTTTGTCTTTATGTTTCCATGTTGGTGTTCTGAAAATGGATAAGATACTGCGATTCAGATCTGAGGGCCACAACGTGAGATAGTCTTCTTGCTGTTCTGTTAGACTGGTTTGTTGGCTGGAACATAAGCCACAGCTCTATAGCAAGACCATCTTTATGAATTTCCAGTAATATTCAGAGGATGGGTTGTTGGATGTTTCTTAGTTTATTATAGTTGAAACTCAATGCACAACTTTTGGTAGCAGGGGGCAGAGCTCAGCAGCAGCTGCCCCATGTCATATCAGAGCGAACTCAAGTGGACTCTGCAGCCCCCATTCCCTGTTCCCCTGTGCTGCTCAGGGGAAGGACGTGGAAGAGATGGGGGAAAAGGTGTTTTTAGTTTAAGTTTCTCACTGTTCTAGGCTGTTAGCAGTAAGCAAAAAATTACATTAATCGCCCTATGCTAAGTATATTTTTGCCAGTGACAGTAATTGGTGAGTGATCTCCCTGTCCTTGTCACAACCCTTGATCACTTTTTCACTGTACTCAGATTTTTCCCCTTCTTCCTTTGAAGAAGGGGAGGGAGAGAGCAGTTGCGGTGGAGTTTAGCTGCCCAGAAGGGTAAGCCCACCACACTTCGCCTTTATTTTGTTGACTTGCTCTTTTGTCCTTTTAATGACTTGAATTTGTCTAAAATACTAGTCATCTTCCGATTTTTGCTTAACCCAAAGCTTTAAATGTTTCCATGTTTATTGTAAGTAGATCAGAACTTATATACAAGTGTTACAAAAATAACTATTGACTGTTTTCCAGTCTCTATAAGAACCTAAGGTTAGTAATATTTCCTTAAATCTATTTTCATTTTTCTCTGATAATTAATATCACAATACATTTTGTCTCCCTAATTTGTACTTTGGTTTGATTTTCTTGTTGTTCTAACACTATATGAGAACAATGAAAGGTGAGAAAAAAAATGAAGTTTTAGATATTGATTCTAATTGGAGTGTTTGTGTATGAAGGATTACTTGAGTGTATTCTGATACTATAGTAAATAGGAGTCAGAGGCAGTAGAGTAATTTCTGCAGTTGAACCCAGTGCTAGTGCTCTTAGAGATTTCATTAGTTTTAATTATAGCTAATTTATTTAAATTCCCATGAAAATAACTTAATAGGATGGAAACTATTATATTGTATTTAGTTAATTACTTTTTAGTAAAAATGAGCAACCAGAATACAGAAGAATAGCAAACAAATACATCAGACACTGAGACTTTCGAAAATCATTAGTGAAATCTTGGCTTGACTTGTCCACTTATGAATTAGTTCTTATAGCATATTTCGGAGCCACGTCTATGAAAGTGAGCTTGTACAGCAATCAAGGTTATCTGGGTTTAGTAAAGCCATACTGATGGTGTGCCTGGGGAGATGTAGGATTAGATTCTGCAGAGTTTTATTAATCCTTATTTTAGCAAAGGTATCCTTACAATGTCACAACAACCATGCTGACAGATATGCTTTTTCTGGAAAACTAATGTAAAACATTTATTTTTTTCAGCAGCAGTGTTGTTCTAGAGAAAGGTTAATAGCCTCATCTGTGTAACAATTCCTTAAGGAATTGTTGTGACTTTTTCATACAGTTAAAGATACCTTTCTGGACAGTTTTAAATTTATTATTGAAAAGACCTTTCAACCTTTTTATGGAATCTAAAGAATAGTTAGCTACTTTTATGTTTTTTATCAGTTTTAAATCTAATGTTCTTCAACATAGTTAACTTCTGTTTGTTTCAGTTTGTTAGATGAAATAGCTAGAATGAATTGTTCTCACTAACTCTGTGTACTTGTCACATAAATGAATCTTGAACCTAAGACTGAGAAAAGGTTATGTACAAGATGATAGGCAAACTTTGTCAGGAAAACATTAAATAAAATTAAAAAAAAAACAAAAAAAAAAAACAAAAAAAAAAACGAACTACAGAAATGACTGCAGACCTCTGCACATTTTCTCCTGTAAATCTGTTTTCAGAAAAAATCTCAAAAACAGGTAGGTGCAGAACTGTTCAGATTTTTTTTTCAGCTGCATTTAGTCAAAAGCGGAGGTTTCAATCTACAAAGTATTAGCTCTGTAAAGACCATCGTGGTGTGCCCTTTTTCCTTTTGTTGAGGTGACCCATGACTCTAATGACAGCAGGATTTTTTTCTTAGAGCCCCTGCGCAGTATTCCAAAGAACATGGCTCTGATTCTGTTTTCTTTATATAGAGATGGGGAGAAAATACTTGAAAAGATGACTAAGAAACATGCAGATATAACCAAGGTTTTTAAGAAAGAAAAGAAAAGAAAGAAAAAAGACTGAAGTTCCTTGGGGAAAAAAAATAAAAAATAAAAAATTACAGGCCATACTTCATGTCTTTAGGGTACAGAAATTTGACACAGAGTGTGTGCACTACTTTCTAATTGAGAGAATGAAATTATCTGAAGATAAACTGGCAAATCCTGAGTTAAACTAGCTGGTAATGTAGCTAAAATTACAATACAATTTCTTCTGAGCAAAGAGACTGAATAGGTGGTGAGAACTAGGACTCTAATTTATGCTCTGCATTTTGAATGCAAGACCTATTTTATTAAGTATAGTACAGTTGTGCAGATGAGAAAAGGAAGGTAGGAATTACATCTAAATTACTACAGTCAGGTTCTATTGAATTCTGCCTGTCTGTGAATAGGCAATAATATTTTTCAGCTTATGAAAAAAGA